ATTGGACATTTAAATATGACCTTTCCAGTGCGAATCTTGGCCAACATTTTTTTTTATTAGTTCATGGATGTAGGTGTTGCTGGCTGTGCCAGAATTTATTATCCCTCCCTAATTGCCCTTGAGAAGGCGGAGATAAATTGCGGTAGATAGTCCTCAGTTCATTTGCTGCTAAGGAGGGAGTTCCAGGATTTTGACCCAGCAACATTAAAGGAATCACAATATATTTCCAAGTCAGGATGTTAAGTGGCTTGGAGGGGAACTTGCAGGTAATGGTGTTCCCATGTATCTGCTGCGTCTTCCCTTATAGATGGAATTGGTTGTCAGTTTAGAAGGTTCAGTGTAAGAAGCCTTCTTGGTGAATTTCTGAAGTACCTCTTATAGATGGTACATACTGCTGAGTATCTGTGATGGAAGGAGTGAATGATTGTGGATATGGTGCCAATCAAGTGGGCTGCTTTGTCTTAGATGGTGTCAAGCTTCTTGAATGTTGTTGGATGAGTGCAGCTCCAGTTCAAAGTAGAGTATTCCATGACATTCCTGATTTATGCTTTGTAAATAGTTGACAGGCTTTGGGAATCAGAAGGCAAGTTACTCACTGCAAGTTTCCCAGCCTCTGACCTGCCCTTGTCAGCACAGTGCTTATATGACTAGTCCAGCTCAGTTTTTGGCCAATGGTGACCCCTAAGATGTTGATAGCAGGGGATTCAATGTTAGTAATGTCACTGAATGCTACAGGATGATGGTTAGATTATCTCTTGCTGAAGTCAGATATTGCCTGACATTGTCCAGGTTTGGGCTGACAAGCAGCAAAAAAAACATAGGTACCACATTGTCCAGGTTTTGCTGCATTTGCACGTGAACTACTTTAGTATCCGAGGACTTGTGAATGGCATTGAACAATGTGCAGTCATCAGCGAACATCCTCATTTCTGACCATATGACAAAGATATAATTCCATGAGCATGAAATACACCAGGCTATTGCTTGACTAGTCTGTGCGGCAACTCTTCCGATTGTGGCACTAGCCCACAGATGTTAGCAGAGACTAGAGTGGTCAACAAAGCTGTGTTTACAGTTGTCACATCTAGTGCCTTAGTTGATACCAGATGGTTTCATTCTAGCAGTTGATACAACTGTATGGCTCACTGGGCCATTTCAGAGGGAAGTTAAGAGTCAGCCACATTGCTGTGGGTCTGGAGACACATGCAAGCCAGACCTAGTACAGACAGTAATTTGCTTCCCTAAAAGGGCATTTGTGAACTAGATGGGTTTTTATGACATTTTAAAATAGTTTAATGTCATCCTTAGACTTTTAATTCCAGACTTATTGAAGGTCATGGTGTGTGCCATGGTGAGATTTGAATCTGGGTGCCCAGAACATTACACTGGTCTCTGTATTATTAGCCCAGCATTAATACTACTAGGCTATCATCTGCCATCCTCCAATCAAACACAAACACTTCCCTGGTCTGTTTGCTACAACAGTATACTATAAAATGCATTTATTGTGGAAGTGATTAAGTAGTGATCAAAACACCCACAGAATATATTCTAAAATATCATGACATTAACCTGGACCTAATGTTGCTATGGTAAATCTGTTCCCATGGTTTCATGGGGACATTGCACTCAGTGATATACTCAATCACTCTCAGATATGATTTCCTGTTGAATACATCCACTGACAATCACTGGTAATCACTTCTAAAGTATCACTCAATATATAATGATAATTACATCATACTCATTTACTCAAGTATGGTGTCAGATGGATAATCCTGACTGACATCTAAAGGAAGAACTAAAGAAAGAACATAGATTTACAAGCAAGCATTTCTGTAAACACCTAGAATATGGAGAGAATGCTTCACAAAGCCTTAATAAAGTTATATTTCAGTACTCCACTTTTTTTTTCTCCAAAGAAAGACAGACTTGAAACAAGACAACTTTCCCAACCACAGGGTGTTCCCAAAGCACTTCCATTTTAGATGTGTAGTCATTGTTGAAATGTGACAGCCAACTTCTGCACAGTAAGCTCCCATTATCGAAGATGTGAAGATGACCAGAAAGTTGTTTCAACATATTGTTGATTTCATGGGATGAAGGCAAGGCCAGCATTTGTTGACCGTTGCTGACTTCCCTTGAACTGAGCGATGTTAAAACTCAAGCACACTTATGGATCTGGGACCAAATAGAAGCCAGACAAAGACATGATTTCACCAGATACGTTTTTACAATAATTAATAATATTTATCGTGGTCACCATTATCCAGACTAGCTTTATATTCCAGATTTTATTAAATGATTTTTATTATTAAATTATCATTAAATGAATTTTAATGCCCACCAGCTGTCTTAGTGGGATTAGAACTCATATCCCCATTGCATTAGGTTGGGCTTTTGGATGACTAATACAGTGACATTACTACATTGTTGATTGAGGGATAAATATTGTCCAGGAAACTGGGGGAGAAAACACCAGTTCTTCTTTGAAACAGTGCCATTGGATCAATTAGCTAAGTCTGAGAAGGCTGGTAAGCTTAAATATCATCTCTGATAGTGCAGCAGTCTCTCAGTACTGTTGGAACGGAGAGCCTAGATTTAGGAATTGTTTTGGGCCCATAAAATTTTGATGCAGAGGAGCATAGGGTACCAAATAAGTCATGGCCAAAACAAGAGAGTAAAAAGGAGTTTTGTTAGCCAACAATCCCACTCAACTAATGCCGAACTAAAAAGTAACTGGTCATCTGAGTCATTGTAAAAGCTTTCATGCAAAATTATCATAGTCTTTTCAATCAAGAACAGTTATTTTTATGTAGCGCCTTTCACAATAAAATGTCAGTGGAGTACCATAAAAAATGTATGACACTGCCACATAGGAGTCCATAAAAATACGGGGAGTATGTCAAGGCACTACAAAATTTATATATTTTCATTGTAACCTTGATTTCATTTAAATTTGTTCCAAATTTCTGACAAGTTTTTTTTTCTGTTTTTTGTTTATTCATTCATGGGATGAGGCATCGCTGGCTAGGCCAGCATTTATTACTCATCCCAGAGGGCAGTTAAGAGTCAACCGCATAGCTGTGGATCTGGAGTCACATGTAGGCCAGACCAGATGGCAGTTTCCTTCCCTAAAGAACATTAGTGAACCACATGGTTTTTCCAACAATCAAGAATGGATTCATGGCCGTCATTGGACTCTTAATTCCAGATTTTTATTGAATTCAAATTTCACCATCTGCCATGGCAGAATTCGAACCTGGGTCCCAAGAAAATTCTCTGGGTCTCTGGATTCAAATTCTAGTGATAATACCACTAGACCATTGCCTCCCCCAAGGTAGTCATGAAGTGAGAAATACCATTATGTGGTTCTAGCAGAAAAATCAGCAAAAATATTGGTAAAAGTTTGGTAAACGATGGACACTTACTGATAAAAGACAACAAGATGCAGGGCTGGATGAACACAGCAGGCCAAGCAGCATCATAGGAGCAGAAAGGCTGACGTTTCGGGCCTAGAC